CCCTCATACTTTTATAAAGGAGCAAATATACCCTTATTGACTTCAAAAAACACCAAACATAAATTATAAATTCAAAATTAAAAAATAAAAATTTTAAAAATGTACTTGTGTCCAATTCTCCCTTTTATTGTTTGTAAATCACATTTAAATATTGTTATTATAAAATGTTATTTCAAAACATTACTATATATTTAAGATTTTTTCGAAAAAAGTGTTAACTTATGTGTTCCAATACAAAAAAAAAATTAATTTTTTTTGCATTCGTTGCACTATAAAATTACATATTTTGTATAATGATAAATAGTTCAAGATTACAAAATAGTGAATTTAATTTTATTAAGTTTAAACAAAATCAAAGAATGTTATTTAAAAAAATATAACAATGTGTTCAAAATTTGATAACAAGACTAAAAGCAATACTAGTATTAATGATTTAGCTTCATTTACAACGGAAAATTAAAAATTTTGAAATTTAAAATTAAAGAATTACTAGTAATATTTTAATAATAGTAAATCATTTTTTTAATTTCGAATTTATATTTTATTTTTGGCGTTTTTTGAAATTTATTTTATCTATTTAAAGTCAATAAGGGTAAATTTGCGTCTTTATAAGAACATGAGGGGTATTTTTGCACTTTTTAAAAGTTCAGGGGTATATATGCACTTCAACATATACTTCGGGGGTATATTTGTTCCAAAAAATAGAATAGTGATATATTTGTTCTCTCACCCATAGTGCAGGGGTATATTTGTCTATGTTGTAAAAACCAGACCGGTGAGCGACCCGGTCATGTGACTGGGTCACGGGTCAACCCGGACCCGGAGGGTCAACCCGGTCAAAGCCGGAAAACCGGTCAACGATTATACGTCTATATAATAATAATAATAATAAACATATAATTATATACACTCTCATTATATATTTTTATTTGTATTGTACACTTATATTATAATTTGGCATGATTTTCATTCTTAAATAAATATATAAATATATTACATAGTTTTTCTTTTTAGGGAATTGAAATTTTATTGGTTTAAAAAATGCATTAAAATTAAAAAAGAAATTACTTTTTTTTTTGGAAAAGACCGAAAACCGGGTTTTCCCGGGTTTTTCGGGTTTCTTGGGTCGGGTCCAGATCGGTTTTTTTCAGATCAGCCGGGTTTTTCCGGTTTTTGACCATTTTCGGGTTTTGAAGAAACCGAACCGGATTTTTGTCCGGGTCAACCCGGCCGGGTCGGGTCGGTTTTTTAAACATGGCTGTGTATCAAGGTACACAGCCATATTTAACAAACATTCTCTCTAAATTAGTTGATTATTTGAATTAGTTGTGTTTCAAGGTATGGTACAAAGGTAATATTTAACAATCTTGTTGAATGTATCTAAAACACAGGTTCGTTTGGTAATATTCAAATCGGCTTTTTTTTTTAGCTTTGAAATAATTAGATTCGCCAAAAATTAAATTGTTCTAATACTTCAAAATAACAAAATGAAATGATACAATATAACCAACCCTCACAAAATTCCATCTCAAAAGACTTTTACACTCAAGAGGACAATGCTGCAGCCTTGTTCCTAGGAGCTGCTTGAGTACCTTCTCTGAAGTTGCTCTTGAAACGGCGGGGAACGTTGCGGAGATACCTCATGCAGCCAGTTCCGGTGGTCTTTCAAATCGGCTTTATTGGGTATTTTGTTGAGATTTATGAAATCATGGCTGAAGTGGCTGGATAACCTGGATTGGTTGATTGTGTTAATATATGGGGAAAAATATTTAAAATATACTCCGATTTCATTAATAAAATTAAAAAAAAAAAACTCAAATCATTCTCTACAGTAACTTCAGCCAATACAGTCACAAGAGTAACTTCAATCTTACATTTTCATATTATTACAGAATTTAGCGCGTGAAATCAAAAGTTATGTGTTTGGTGAAAAAAATGGATGATAAGTTGAAAAACATATTATCAAATAGGCTCTTAGATAAAGTGATAACAACTCCATGAATGATTTTTAATTGGGAAATTTTTCGAAATAAGAGTAAATTGATTTTTAAAATTTCAAAATAGTACTGCCATGTTTTCCTTCCTGAAATAGAAGTAACCCGACATTATTTAGTGCTATCTTGTAATCTTCAATGCCAACAATATTAGGCAATAAACATGTAACATGACATCATTTATTATCATTAATAACAATACTCTTCAATCGTGACATTATTTTTCAATTATGACAGTAATGAATCTTATTTGGAGTAGAATAACATAAGGATTTTATTTTGAAATTTTGAAATTTATTTACTCTTATTTAGTGCAATTTTCCTTTTATAATTTTGAACAAAAGTCAAAATATAAATGTGGCAATTCACTAGTTCATACTATTGATATTCAACTTTTGACTATTCATAACCGAAATATCTAGTGCATATTGTAACAATTTGCTGCCCTTTCGTAGGAGTTATTTTCCCAAAATAACGCAAAAGAAAATATTATTTACCAAATTATGATTGAGTTAAAACCTTTTATCAAAATACTGTTGGTACTTTTACCAAAAAAAATACTGTTGGTAGAAACTACTACCTCCGTTCCATATTAAACTTCCAATTGCGGGTTACGAAGTTTGATCATCGATAAAATTAAATGATCTCTGTGAAAACTCAGATTATTTTTAAAAAATAAAATTTACATATTTAGAAATTACAACAAACTCGCTACAAAGCCTGCAAAAAACAATTCACTTTTTATAAAATTTTGATATATAAAGTAAGAGTTTAAATGTGATTTAAGTTGACTCTCGAAAAGCGAAATGAAAGTTTATCTAGAGACGAAGGGAGTACTACGGGGCATAATAATTAAATAAAGCCACCAACAAATGAAGTGACCACTTTGTTTAAAACAGATTTTGGGCGCGTATGTGGGTAAGCAAGGCAGCTGATTGGCAATGGAAAGAAAGGTTGGTGGGACCCATTTAAATAAAATATCTTTATTTTTAAGTGATTATAACTTTATTATTTTTTATCCAATATTACAAAAACATATTACAGTTCATAATTTTTTTATGATCTTTCATATGACATTCATATGATACCATTAATTGCATATATAGTTTTTTTGAAAAAATGAAGGTCATATGATGTCCAATTGAAAATTCAAAATTTTATATCTCCTAAAATAGGTACATATGAATTTTGATATTTTTTTTGTTACTCTAAGCATGGATCTGGGAAAAAGAAATTTGATTGGAAACATAATTTTGAGTTTTGATATTTCAATTAGACAATGTATTGTCTTCAAATTTAAAAAAAAATGTAACTTGTATCAAACGAAAGGTCATAAAAAGTTATATATATATATATATATATATATATATATTATATATATATATATATATATATAGTGTGTGTGTGTGTGAGTGTGTGTAGAGAGAGAAGTGATCCTATCAAGCACTCCCCCGTCTGAACACCGCCGTTTGGGGCGGTTCCTGGTGAAATTTTTTGATGAAATTTTTTGAGCATGTTCTTCATCAAGTCTAGTTTATCCAAAAAAAAATCAGTTCAAAATTCGATCGGGAGGCAGTCAAATAAGTTTTTGAAGTTGATTGCGTTTTTATATGTATATTTTGGCGCAGTCAACTTCAAAAAATGATTTGACTCCCTTCCTGATCGAATTTTGAGCTGAAATGTTTTGTGGATAAACTAGACTTGATGAGGAACATGTTCAAGAAAATTTATTAAAAAATTCCACCGGGAACCGCCCCAAACGGCGGTGTTCGGACGGAACATGCTCCAACTTGAGGGTATTGACAAACTAGCATGTGCAACATGACAGAACGAGACGGTCCTCTTATTATTGTCTATTATTTAATTACGATTCTTTTCATGTAATATTTTATTCAGTCAATCATGCGTACGTATGTAGCAGTTGCTGACTTGCTTCATAGTAGGATTTCTACTTCTTTCATCTTGGAACCAGTTGAGTTTGTACTCATATAAACCGCATGTGTAACTCGTACGAAGCAAGGGGGGAATAAGATTTATTTTTTGGTTATCGCACTTGTGCTTTTTTAAAAGAGAATATAGGCAATGTTTTAGGTTTTTTCTCTAAGGTACGACTAATTGAAGCTTATTTTCAAACAAGCAACTACTTCTACATATGGATAAAATGCGACTAATAAGGTACGGAGCAGTAGATTTGAAAAAGCATAATATGACTATCAGATTTTTATGACATTGTCATTTCATTCATGTCACTGATCGATAGATGTCACCATCGTCGTCGCCACAGATGTCTCTGTCACCGCCGGCTTAAAAAAATTTGAGTAACTTTATACTTTAAAAATTCATAAAAAGCAAAAACATGCAGGTGACTTTTCCAACAAAACTGGCAATCATCGAGAGGTATTACTAGAAGAGTCAGTGGAGTAGGGGGCATGGGCAAAGTGAGTAGTTGAGTTGAAATTTAAATTAAAAGAAAAATATTCTGCCTCCGTCCCAATGGACTTTGCACTAATTGAGTTAAGTGAAAAATAAGAATAATAAAAATTGTGTGGTTGAAGATTGTGCAGAGAAAAGAGAAATGAGCAGAAACACAAAATAGTTACTTTAATGGGAAAGTGACAAAGTTTTTTGGGACAACAAAAAAGGATATTTGGCAAAGTTCAATGGGACGGAGGGAGTATTAATTAGAAATAATTAGTTACATATTTTGTTGTTGGAAAAAATTATAGTGTATTTTTAAAAAGATTTTTCTCCTAAAATATTACTAATAAAAAAATCTATGGATAAAAAAGTGATTAAAAGTTAGTATGTCTAAATTATTTAGACACTATAATGTACTCCCTCCGTTCCCAAAAATACTTTCCACTTTCCTTTTTGGGTCGTTCCAAAAAATACTTTCCACTTTCCCTTTTTGGACAATTTGTGTGGCTCACATTCATTTTACATTTTTCTTACACAACCACAATCATACATTTCCACTTTATTCCACTTTCTTAATAGGCGTGCCAAGTCAAACCGGGGAGGATATTTAGGAACGGGGTAGTAACATTTGACTTTTTTTTTTAAATCAAATAACCAATATATTAATAAAAGATAGCAAAGATACAAGAGAACGAGTAGCCTAAGGCTACATTGGGATGAGACATAGAACGGAAAAGATTCAATGAATCCTTCTAGATCGCTAATCTCGCAATAATGTAGTCTAGTCTAACAGTGTTGCTGCTCTTCTTGCTACTCCAAAGAGAAAATAAAAAATTGCAACAATAAGATCCGGCTTCACCGGCCACCGGAACAGGGGAATTGGTTTGACCATCAACCAACAAAGGAAATTCAATTGGGCGGAAATTGTTTGGATCATCAGTTTGACAAGCCACCGAAAAGGAGATCTTGTTGAACGCTATCTTTTTCTTCGAGTAAGGCGGTGGCTCAGGAGGAGGGCGAGTAATTGGAGATTCAGAATAAACTTGTCTTGTCAACCATGAATAATGAACCACTCGATCGATTACACCGATGAGGAAGACACAACCTCCAGACATTGCTAGGTGAAGAACAAAATACACGCTCACATGAAGCAAACATAACTCTCGGCCAAATAAGATGTCGGACCAAAACCACAACCCCATCTCAGAAATTTCGGGTGTTTGTCCTTTCTAATTGCTCGAACTGAATGCTGGTAAACTTCACGAGCCTATCAATATAAGAATGTAACACCCCCATTTTTCCCACCAAAATAAAATAACATTTTGAAATGAAAACATCTTTATTATAAAACATATTTAGAGTACAGCGGAAGTCTTTGATGGAAAAATAGGTGTGTCACCGCCACACTCAACCTATACATGATTGAGTGCACAGGCTATCCACCATTAATTCAAGTAGTCATCAGATAAAACTTAAACAAAGTTTATGGATTACAAATTTAAACAACAATAATTAATCAAACGTGTGCAACTAGCGGAACGCTCGGGCAGCAAGTACATCAATCTTCATAATCATAATCATCTGTACAATAGAGCAAAGAGAAAAAGAGAAAAGAGACAAAAATTAGCTTTAGAGCTAAGTAAGATTCCACCCGAACCCGTAAAATAATATAATTTGGAAAATAGGTTTTTGTATATGTATATATATATTGAAAAGTAGTCTCTCATATTTTCAAAATGGTTTAATGTCATAAAATAATTTCCACAATAGATAAGATCATCCTTCAATTCCTCCAAAAGTAATACTTTAGATTCTTTTAAGAGTGGGCGAAACTCAAGATTCCTCGAGCCCAATGAGTCATTGTTATCTACGACTCATCCCGGAATTCCGGCTCCCACCGACCACCAATTGGAAGCTGAATTTCTACCTTAAGTGTGCACACCCTCTAAAAGGGATTCCAAGCCCTCCGAGTAGTAAGAAACCCAAGTAGGCAGGATGTTTTCTACCACCTACTCACAAGGGACATTGTCCAAGGGTAAATTAGGTAACTACTACTACGACCACCAAAGGATCTTTGATCCTCAAATAAAAGCCCGGGATGTCTACCGGAGTATGTCATTGCCGGACTGGTTACCGACCCAAATAAATTTCACCAAAAGTAGTAGTAGCCCTAACCACCCACGCCTCGTGTTTCTCTCGAGACGTAAGAATATATATTATGAAAACTTTAAGTTTTCCCTAAATCATTATCGTCACATTTTCTCAAAATATCCTTTGTAATAAATATAAATCCACCAATATTCTTTAATAAAAAGAATATACATTTAATCATCCATAAAAGGTAATAATCCACCAATATTCATATAGTCAAAATATTCGATCCATGTCAAACATATAATTTCCAATTCATAAATAATTCACATAGTGCAAATATTGCATACATATAAGTACGAGGCAAAACATTTTGGTTGACATAGAACTTTCCTTAAATTGCGATAATCTCCTTAATAAAATCTCTAGCTTGATCTTCACTTGAATTCTCCTTCTAATATTGATCAAAATTCTAAATCAATAACTATTCTATTATTTCGTTATTTCTTTTATATCCAACCTTTAATTACTTTAACTTCATAATTCCTTCTTTAAATATAAATATTAAATTAATAAATCTTACTAACTGTTTATTTCCAGTTCATTCTTATTATTTTCTTTAATTATAATAACCCAACTCGGTTTTTCTTAATTTGTTTGGTTAAATAGTTTACTAGTCCAATTATATTAACTACATAATAATTTCATTATTTCGAATTTAAATAATCAATTTCAGTTCAAAATTCAGTTTACATAATTTATATAATTTATTTAATAACCCTTTTAATAATAACTTGACTTAGGCAATAATTCGAAATAATAATCATTAATGATAATCTAATCTCAATAACAACTTTAATTAGTTCAATAGTTTATTTATACTAACTAACCCAATTAAATTAATTTATCCAATCCTCCAGTTTTATTTATTTGACTCACTAATTTAATTGAACTAACTAAATCAAATAAATAAGTTTAATTATATCAATATAGCTAAATACGTTAATCTAATTCAATTAAGTCCAATAATCAAATTCTAATCTCGTTTTAATTTTCTATTTTTAATATAAAGTCCAGAAATGTTATCAAGTCTATAAATTAACTAATTTATCCATTAAACTAATTGATTTAGTTAAACTAGTCCAATGAAGTCAATTAACTAACTTATTAAGTACACATTACTTAATTAATTTGTTTATATTCATCAACTAATTTTTATGAGTTCAAATAGTTTAGTAATTTATATGGAGTCCAAATCACTAATAATCAAGGATAATAATTATTAATTTAATCACGCTAATTTAATTAGTCAACTAATTCAATAATTTATTTATTAAGTCCAAATATAGTCATTCATTTATAACCCAACTTTATTTTATTTTCCTTATTTTATTACAAATATCATTTTTAGTCCAGAACATTATTTTCAATCTTAGTGATTTATTTATTTCACCATTAATATCAAAATTTCCTTATTTAATTACTTAACTAGTTTATATGGCTCAATTAAATTAAATAACTTAATCATCACTTTTATAAATTACTAATCATCCATAACTATAGTTTGGGTCTATACTTGACCTAGGTTGTCCAGATATTTATTTTAGAATTATTTGCTTTATTTATTCACTTAATTTCATATATCTATTAACCGGTTTAATTACAATTAAATATGCTAATTATAATTTTTATTAATTATAAATGGTCCCAAATGTCCTAGTTAGTCATATATTTAATCTAGCTTGCTCTCATATTTATTTCATAATTATTTTCGTCATTTAGTTAATTATTTACTAAATGTGTACAACTTGGCCCAATTACAATTAAATCAATTAAAAATAGCTACAAATATTATTTTTCAATTATTCTTGGTCCGAATATGTATTTTTATACCAGGTATTTAATTTATATTTTTCCAGATTTTATTTATTTCATTTACTATTTTATTTTTAATTTTTTATTGAAAACGGGCCGAACCGGCCCAAATACGCGACCCGGCCCAAGAAGACTGGGATGTCTTCTTCCCAGCTCTTCTCCAGGTCGCGATTCCGGCGACCGGAATCCCGAAAACTCCGGCGAGCGATAACTTTACTTACAGGTAACGGATTTCAACGATTCAAGTTGCAAAATGATCCTCACGTCGAGACGAAGCTCCTCCACCCCTATCTACGGCCAATTGTCCGCTTTTGCTGAAGACCCATTTCCATGGCTTGCAACTCCGGCGACCTCTAGGATGCTCCGGTGACTACGAATCGGTCTGGAATTTATTGGGAAGTATTCCTAGACCTCTCACGACCCTCCTCTATCGTTTTTACGAAGTTTGATACGTAAAATATTATAGGCATAAATTTTCCGGCGAGATTATGTATATATATGTATATGTATATATAGCTTCTATCTCTCCGATTTGCAGTGTTTAGGATGGCTAAGAGGGTGTATTTATAGGTCTAGATGGTCCTTATGGTTTATTTTATTTATTTGATAATTGTATGAATAATAATAATAATAATAATAATAATAATAATAATAATAATAATAATAATAATAATAATAATAATAATAATAATAATAATAATAATAATAATAATAATAATAATAATAATAATAATAATAATAATAATAATAATAATAATAATAATAATAATAATAATAATAATAATAATAATAATAATAATAATAATAATAATAATAATAATAATAATAATAATAATAATAATAATAATAATAATAATAATAATAATAATAATAATAATAATAATAATAATAATAATAATAATAATAATAATAATAATAATAATAATAATAATAATAATAATAATAATAATAATAATAATAATAATAATAATAATAATAATAATAATAATAATAATAATAATAATAATAATAATAATAATAATAATAATAATAATAATAATAATAATAATAATAATAATAATAATAATAATAATAATAATAATAATAATAATAATAATAATAATAATAATAATAATAATAATAATAATAATAATAATAATAATAATAATAATAATAATAATAATAATAATAATAATAATAATAATAATAATAATAATAATAATAATAATAATAATAATAATAATAATAATAATAATAATAATAATAATAATAATAATAATAATAATAATAATAATAATAATAATAATAATAATAATAATAATAATAATAATAATAATAATAATAATAATAATAATAATAATAATAATAATAATAATAATAATAATAATAATAATAATAATAATAATAATAATAATAATAATAATAATAATAATAATAATAATAATAATAATAATAATAATAATAATAATAATAATAATAATAATAATAATAATAATAATAATAATAATAATAATAATAATAATAATAATAATAATAATAATAATAATAATAATAATAATAATAATAATAATAATAATAATAATAATAATAATAATAATAATAATAATAATAATAATAATAATAATAATAATAATAATAATAATAATAATAATAATAATAATAATAATAAAAATAATGTCTACACATAATGATAGGTTGGTAGTTGATGAACATGGCATGTGTATTGATCCCTGATTTGATTCCCATTTATATTGATGTTTCATTTTATTTTATTTTATTATTATTATTTTTAATTACTTAAATGTATTTTGAGTTTTACATATAAATATATGTACATAATGTATATACATTATTTGGTAGGTGATCTTAGCATGTGTCATTGTTTTATGATATGATATTTTCATTTATTAATTTGATGCTATTATTAGTAATTTATAATATTCTTACTATTTTTATTTATTTATTTATTTATTTATTTATTTACTTATTATGTCACCTATATTTTATCTGATTTATTTCCATTTTTTTTTCGATGCTACATAAGTGTTTAATTCTATTGCATGTAGTGTGCGTATATTTTTATACACCAAGTATAAAAAAATATTTTGATCTTACTTTCATTTGATTTATCAGATATAACTTATCTGATTTATTTATTTATTTTTATTTCAAATTTTCAAGGTATCACATTCTACCCTCCTTAAAGAATGCTTCGTCCTCGAAGCATAAACTAAGACGCGAATTAAGTATGAAGATGAAGTATTATAGGTTTATAAGATATGACAACCTGCCCCCCTAAAAGAAAGGTTACGTCCTCGTAACCGAATATTTACCTTAATTGAAAAGTTCAGGATACCGTTTACGCATATCCTCTTCTGTCTCCCATGTTGCATTCTCGGTCAAATGGTTTGACCAAAGTACTTTTACCATCTTAACTGTCTTCTTCCTTGTCTCTCGGGTCTTAGTATCGAGAATCTCTATGGGTTTTTCTTCGTAGGATAATGTCTCATCCATTTCAATCACCTAATAATGTAACGGTTAACTTATATTCTTTTCAATTTACATTTGGCTCATGTTAAGTCTAGGATTTCTTACCTCCGGATTGATGATATGTGATTCATCTCGAACATACTTCTGTTCGGATGGTGAGCGTATGTCGAGAGTTTCCGGATGTTGCCGTCTTGGATTGCCGAAGTCGACATCTCCGATCATGTCGTCACGCTCGGAAATGTGTCGTCCTTGATGTTCAGCAAACAAATTGCGAAACACATTCCTTCTGGGGAGTGGTGCAGGACGAGATGATTGTCCTCTTCCACCTGTTGAACCGGCCAGCGAAAGGGGAATGAAGGGCTCCGTTGAAGTCGACACAGGGATAGGGATCGGCATCTGCTGGTTGACGGTCTGCATCCCCGATGTCGTCGTTTTGGTTCGCAATGAATCCGGGAAGAAGCACATGGGGATGCTTGCTTCTGGAGTTGTCGCTGGGACAAGAGGTTCATAGGGTATGAGCTGCGAGATCGCCGGGACACCTTTAGCATATGGATCAAAGTTTGAAAGTCCCGGGAAAGCTTCGGACGTGAATGTGACTGTTGAGGTTGGGACTAGTATGGAATCTACGCCCGACTTTGATGCGGCAGTCATTACCTCTTTCCCTTTTCGTGATTTTGACGCTATGGACGCCACCGATTGAACTTGGGATCTCAAGGCGTCATTTTCTCCTTGGAGAAGAGTTATTCGTTGACGCATTTCCTCTCTTACGGCCTCTAGCTGGATTTGAGTATCCTCCTTTGACTGGTTAGCCTCCTTGGCCGCACGTAATTCTTCCCGGAGGGCTTCCAATTGTGCCGCTTCGGCACTTTTGGCCGCGCGGAGCTCCTTTCGGTCAGCATCAAGCTGCGCTTGCATCTCATCAAATAGGGGATTAGAGCTTCTGGCCATCGTTAATTCTTGTTTTGCAAGAATTTCCCACAGACGGCGCCAATTGTTTAAACAAGAAATAATTTATCCTAGAACGGAGTAAAAAATGGGAATCAAGCAATATAGAATCAACTATGGAAGAATTGGTAAAGAAAGGAATTTGATATATGATGATCAAGAAGAAGGATCTTCACAATATGCTTTTGAATTACAATGTAGAGACTGAATGTATGTGTATTCGTAACTGAATGTGCTGATTACATAGAGCCTCTAGATATTTATAAGAGATACATTTAATGCACTTTTGTCCGTTGACGACATGATCCGACCGTTACGACGACATGTCCGACCGTTACGACGACATCAATATCGTCATTATTGCATCATCAATTCTGGCCAGCCCTTTGAGTAACCTATGTCATAATTACAATAACTACTCTAATTATATACATAAAACTGCCCAGATTTAATTAGCTAGCATTAATCCCAATGAATGCGTCATTGATTGCCACGGTCAACCATTTTTGAATGTAGTCAAGGCCGCCCAACTCGTGTACAAACATACATTATTAGGACCTCCACTCGATCGTTCCATTAGAAGCAGAAGCAGATACCCTCCTTCGTCACCATATTCGACTACACCAGAAGCAGGATGTTCCTTCGTCCCAATCTGACAGGAGAGATAACTTGGAGCAGCGAATTGAAGGTGCCCACCGCCTTTTCCGCCGCCACCTTTCTTTTAGTCGGCGATTGGCCGGAATTGATTTAAGAGGGAGATGAAAGCGCCAGCAACAACTTGCTTTCTGTGTGGATTGAACTCCTCTTACGGTCAAAGATGAATTGTGTAGAGGAAGATGAACACTTCTTCATGTCTTCTCCATAGATGAAGAGTGAAGATGAAGATCCTATAGGATGAGGATGGAGTGGATCTGGAAGCAGATCAATCTTTTCTCTTTTTCTCTTTTCAGTTGGGTTTTTTACCAGTTTAGAAGGTTGTAGGTGAACCGGATCAATGGGGGAAGACAACATATAATTTGAGATTATATTAGAATAACATATATTTGGGATTAATATTAGAAGGATATGAATAGGTTGGATTATTCATGTGAATTTTTCCTATCTTTTGGGACTAAGTCTTGGATTTGATTATATACTGGTTTTAAAAATTTCTAATTACTTGTAATTTTTTTAATAGTTTCATAATTTTAATCTTATTTTACATGATTTATTTTTAATCGTAGGTATATTTAATGTTTTTCAACTCTTTTTTGCTTTTATGTGAAATTTTATAATTATATACTTATGGCATTTAACTTTTTGTATAAATTATATTATTACTACTATTTAGAAATTAAATCACAAAAGTATAATATTAGGTTTTTGTTTTACGTTCTTGAACGTTTTTCATCTTATTTTCGTTTTGAAATTTTAATTTAGAAGTTTTCAGATTTTCAATTCTTATTATGCTTTTATTGAATTTTAAAATTTTCTATTAATTTAGTGTTTATACTTTTATTAATTTACTGTTGATTATCATCTTTTGTATCTTTAATGAGTTTTATTACATCTTTTGATATTACTTTCATTTTCAGTCTCTTTTTGTTAGGGAAAAAGGTCAAATAAGCTTTCGAACTAACTTAAAAAGTTCAAATCACCCTTTTGGCCCTTTTATAGGAGGGTCTGCCCGAGCGTCGTCATTTGGGACGATTCCTGGTGGAATTTTTTGATGAAATGTTTTGAACATCTTCTTCATTAAGTCTAGTTTACCCATAACAACAAATTTCAGGAAAAAATTCAACCGGGAAGACAATATGATTTACTGAAATGTACTGCGCTGTTTAAGTGCATAGTTATCTTCAAAAATTCATTTGACTGCAATCTTGATTGAATGTTTAGCTGAAACTTGGTATGCGTAAACTAGACTTAATGAAGAAGATGTTCAACCGCTCCCAAATGGTAACGACCGGTAGAGCCTTGTATAAAAGGGTAATTTACACTAAAAGTTAACTTAGTCTGCATAAAAAAAACGTTAACTTAGTTATTAGGCTACCCGCAATGCAAGAGGCGAAAAACTCATATGTGAAGTTTTGACTCAAAAAATGGTACAACCCAAACAAAAAAAAGTAGGGTGGGGAGCCATTGTGGATTGGGAGAACCTATTGGGAGGGGAATATAGACGGTGGATAGCCCCAAGAGAGAGGAAGGGAGCAAGCCGCAGGTTAGGAAATTGTGAGGGGTACACATTAAATTAAAATCCCAATTTTGTAAAAAATGGTGTAAGTTTTTATTTGAAATTCAATTTTTATAAAAAATAAATCAAAATTCATAATTTTTTATGACCTTTCATATGACATCAATATGTCATATATAAAGTGTTATAAAAAATATGAAGTTTTATCTGATGGAGAGATTTTCAGGCCTAAATTTTTTCTTAAGCATATATAAGTTCTAAAATTAATGATATAGCAATATTATTAATCAATTAATTTATATTCACCTAGTAATAGTATATGAAATGATAAATTAATAATATAGCAATAGTATAATCAATAGTTTTAAATTTATTTCAAATTAAGCTCAAGTGGGCATTTTTTATACTTACAAAAAAATTAATTCCCATTTTTTTATTTTTTTACATCGGAATGTTTGACTTTTTAAATAATAATTATTGGTAAAAATAAAATTATCACATTAGTGATGTGTAATAGAAAAAAGTAAGGATTTATGCATTTACTTTAAAAAATGTGCTGAGTGAATATATTGACGGTGCTGGGTTGCAGAGAAAAACTGAATTGACTGAGTGAATACGTATAGAGCCCGTTTGGTAGTTTACATATTAAAACTTTACATGCAAAATGATTGCATGTAAAGTTTAGGACGGTAAAATAGTTTGCATGTAAAATAAAAATACATTATTTGGTTATGTGTGTAATCTATTTTTAAATTACACGCAGACTCTTTACATTGTTTGATTGGAAATTAACTTCACATGTAAAATATGTAAGAAAAAAATCACTAGATCGCCTATTGACCTACTAAATCAGTGCTCTCATTGTCAATCATACCAAAAGCAAGCAGCTAGAAGGAACCAAACAATATAGGGTGCGTACACGTTTGAATCGATGAAAGCCAGCCAAGGTGTAGAAAGCAGAACCAAACAAATAATATACTACGTATATACTACGTAATATATATTACTCCGTATAGAATTACCAGAGTCTAGAAGGAGAAGCTAACCTACTGGGAAGTGCTAGGCAGACCAATGCAGATGGAGAAGATCGGGATGTGATGATGATTGACTATTTGATTGGAGAAAAAATTAGTTTTTTTGCAGCCAAGAATTTTTACTTTGTCGCTGCCATAATTTTTTCCTTCACCGCCGAACCAGTTTCTAAAGCCTAGGTTGAAGTCGTAAGAAGATTATCCGTATTTTATAATCCTTAATAACGGATGTAAAATAGTTTATTACCCTCCCCCATGTAAAATACTTTACACGGTACAGTGTAAAATGTTTTAAAAAAGTGCCCTACAGTTTACATTAAATATTTAAAACAAACGGTGTGAAATGATTACATCCCCACACTTCGCACGCAAAATGTTTACTTTACACCGTACCAAACGGGCCCATAAAGCTGTGTGAGATTAGATTTATCCACAAGTTAAGTTGCGGATAGCCTAAAAGGTAAAAGGGGGTGATTTGCTCATTTGCCCCTATTTGACCTTTTCCCTGTTTAGCCTAATGGGCATGTCGTGCGGCATTTGGTGTTCTTTGTAGCAGCAACAGTCGTACTCCACCCCAGAATTCCATTCGGCTCTTGCTTTCACATCCTGCTATCTCTGATAACTCATATTCGCACTTCGCTGCTTCAACTTCTTCCATCATCAAAGGCTCAAGCAAAACCTTTCTTATTTTCAGGTTTCGTAGTTTCAGATTACAATTTGTTTTCCTTCTTATCAAGTTTGCGATTTTGTACGAATTATTTTCATTTACAATAGACTGACCCAGCTGGATATTTTGCATTCTTTTTATCGGTTTACTTTTTCTTATAATATTACCAGTATCTATTACGTATCTGGATTTATTTGTTAATTTAATCTGTGAATTTAATCTGCATTTTTTGTTTTCTCAATGTTTTGGTAAAAGAATAATTTGTGCTGAGGTACTGGGCTGCTGGTTTTTATAAAGTGACCATTCTGAGTTCAGATTATCAAGTGAATGCAGTAGCGCATATCACCTATAAATTATAAAAAGTTTCAATTTCTATATTTTGGGGACCACTATCATGTGTATTGCTGTAGTTGAGTTTTGCAATAGATGACTAGCTCTCATCACTGATCCCCTGTACATTTTATTTGAAGCATCAAAAGACTAAATTGTATTATTGTAAAGCAAATACCAGACGTTTGCTAAAAATTTGGCAAAGGAAGCTGCATGATCACTATATACTCTGTAATTCTGTAGATATTTATTTAAGTTGTTAAGTATAATCTGTAATAATTCTGCAGGAATGGCAATGGTAGAAACTATGAATTTAATATCTCAAAACGTTGCTTTTAAAAATCGTTGTGACAAGAAGAAAAGGGTGGAAGTCGATGAGCGTCCACTTCATGATGGCAATGAACAAACCCAAGAGATGAAAACCTCTGATGCTGTAGACACTGGAAGCCACCGGAAAAGGAAGAAGCATAGCAAGGGATTAAAATCCGAGGAGGAGGAGGAAATTAAGAGGCTTGAAAATGTCTTGTTCGGCTCCTTACACTCTCCTCTTGAATATGGAAATGAAGAGGCTGACAAAGATTCTTCATTGTTTGTTGTGGACCGAATTGGAAACAGTTCATTGACTCCTTACGAACGTGATGAAACAGAAATGTCAGATGAAAGAAGTGATGATGAGGAGGGGATTAAGGAACGCAAACCAGTCTGGATAGACGAAGAAGAGGAGAAGACCAGCATAAACTTGGCTGGAGTAAACAGATTGAGGAAGCTAAGGAAGGAAGAAGACGAGACTGTAGTTTCTGGGTCCACATATGTGGCCCGATTGAGAGCACAACATGCTAAGCTGAACCCCGGGACTGAGTGGGCCCGACCCGATTCACAGAGAAGAAGAAGCTTATTATCAGATGATGAAGATTCTGATCTAGAAAACGGAGATATCCTTCGTACGAATGAAGAACTTGTTGTGAAAAGCAACACAAAGCTGTTACCGGGAATTCTAGAACATTCTAGACTGGTTGATGCAAACAGAAAAGAGTATTCAAACAGTCCTATAAACTCTGTACAGTTCCACAGGAACAGCCAGCTTCTTCTTGTTGGGGGATTGGACAAAAGGCTCCAATTCTTTCAAGTTGATGGGAAAGAGAACACCAAAATACAAACCGTCTTCATTGAAGACTGCCCAATTAAAAAGGCAGTTTTTTCACCCGATGGATCTCAAGTTATCATATCCGGTAGACGAAAGTTCTTTTATGCCCTTGACTTGGTCAAGACAACAGTGGATAATATCGGGCCTCTGGTTGGCAGAGAGGAAAAAAGCTTGGAAAGCTTTGAGGTATCTCCCGATTCTGACATGATCGCATTTCTAGGCAACGAAGGGTATATTTTGTTAGTGTCCCTCAAAACGAAAGAACTAGTTGGTACCCTAAAGATGAATGGCACAGTTCGGTCATTAGCTTTCACCAATGATGGACAACAGTTATTGAGTTCTGGTGGAGATGGCGAGATTTACCATTGGGACTTGAGGAAAAGGGCTTGTTTTCACAAAGGTGTTGATGAAGGCTGCATAACTGGCACTTCTCTTTGTGCTTCGCCAAATGGGGCACTATTTGCAGCCGGTTCAGACAGTGGGATTGTGAATTTGTACAACAGGGTGGATTTCTTGGGAGGAAAGAAGAAACCCATGAAGAGAATTGAGAATCTCACCACCAAAGTTGATTATATGAAGTTCAATGCGGACTCTCAGATACTTGCTATATGTTCAAGCATGAAAAAGAACAGTTTGAAACTAGTACACATTTCTTCATGCACGGTTTTCTCAAATTGGCCTCACCCAAACCAATTGCTGCATTATCCGAGGTGTTTGGATTTCAGTCCTCACAGTGGGTTTATGGCCTTGGGAAATGCCAAAGGGAAAGTTTTGCTATATAAGTTGCATCATTATCATCATGCATAATTATTTGCTTGAATGTCATACTGTTTTTCAAAGCTTATACGTTGCCATGTGGAGATGTGGCTGTTTGTATGCAAAAGGAGCACCACCCACCTTCATGGCTTCATGTGATGATATTGTAGTGAGGATTTTGATTATGGTTTGGCTTTTCTGTTATTGTTTCTGACCCATTGCAAGTTCTTCTAGATATAACTTTTAGTGCATTAGAGAAATCTGAACAGTTATTTCCAAACGGCTGTTGATCAAGATGAAGTAACTATAACTATAATTTAAAGCTGATCTCCAAACGGCTGTCCAGGCCCATCCCATCAAATTCGGGTCATTTATGTCCAATTTGGATTTGGCTGAAAGAGAGTTGCTGACATTCTATGCAAGTTGGAACCAGTGGGAGGTGCTCACTTGAGCAACTTCATGACCATGTTTGTTTGTTTGTTTTCTATAAATTGTTTTTTAGTTATTGAAGTTTTTGCTGAAAGGACAAATGAAAGAAATGGCAACCACCTTTAGGGCGGCTTGAAACATTTTGAATGAATTGGTTTCATTCAGTGGTGTCCATCAGCTGGTTGCAAGGATGAGAGGGGTTTCAACAGCATTTCAACTTGGGCAGATTCATCAATCATTACAAATTTACAATTGTGAGTTTCAAACACTAATAATAAATTAATTGAGGCGGTGAGTTTTTTTGTAAGTAGCACTTTAAGACAAGATGAAGCTACGAATTGGATATTTCTGTGATAAATTAATTATGATGGTGTAGTTGATTATTTGAATTAGTTGTGTATCAAGGTATGGTACAAAGGTAATATTTAACAATCTTGTTGAATGTATCGAAAACACAGGTTCATTTGGTAATATTCAAATTGGCTTTATTGGGTATTTTGTTGAGATTTATGAAATTATGGCTGAAGTGGCTGGATAACCTGAATTGGTTGATTGTGTTAATATATGGGGAAAAATATTTAAAATATATTTCATTAAAAAAAAAAACTCAAATCATCCTCTACAGTAACTTCAGCCAATACAGTCACAAGAGTAACTTCAATCTTACATTTTCTTATTATTACAGAATTTAGCGCGTGAAATAAAAAGTTATGTGTTTGGTGAAAAAGATGGATGATAAGTTGAAAAACATATTATCAAATAGGCTCTTAGATAACCGAAATATCTAGTGCATATTGTAACAATTTGCTGCCCTTTCGTAGGAGTTATTTTGGGAAAATAACGCAAAAGAAAATATTATTTACCAAATTATGATTGAGTTAAAACCTTTTATCAAAATACTGTTGGTACTTTTACCAAAAAAATACTGTTGGTAGAAACTACTACGGGGTATAATAATTAAATAAAGCCACCAACAAATGAAGTGACCACTTTGTTTAAAACAGATTTTGGGCGCGTATGTGGGTAAGCAAGGCAGCTGATTGGCAATGGAAAGAAAGGTTGGTGGGACCCATTTAAATAAAATATCTTTATTTTTAAGTGATTATAACTTTATTATTTTTTATCCAATATTACAAAAACATATCACAGTTCATAATTTGTTATGATCTTTCATATGACATTCATATGATACCATTAATTGCATATATAATTTTTTTGAAAAAATGAAGGTCATATGATGTCCAATTGAAAATTCAAAATTTTATATCTCCTAAAATAGGTACATGTGAATTTTGATATATTTTTTGTTACTCTAAGCATGGATCTGGGAAAAATAAATTTGATTGGAAACATAATTTTGAGTTTTGATATTTCAATTAGACACTATATTGTCTTCAAATTTAAAAAAATGTAACTTGTATCAAACGAAAGGTCATAAAAAGTTAAAAAATATATATATAGTGTGTGTGTGAGTGTGTGTGAGTGTGTGTAGAGAGAGAAGTGATCCTATTAAGCACTCCCCCGTCCGAACACCGCCGTTTGGGACGGTTCCTGGTGGAATTTTTTGATGAAATATTTTGAGCATGTTCTTCATCAAGTCTAGTTTATCCAAAAAAAAAATCAGTTCAAAATTCGATCGGGAGGCAGTCAAATAAGTTTTTGAAGTTGATTGCGTTTTTATATGTATATTTTGGCGCAGTCAACTTCAAAAAATGATTTGACTCCCTTCCTGATCGAATTTTGAGCTGAAATGTTTTGTGGATAAACTAGACTTGATGAGGAACATGTTCAAGAAAATTTATTAAAAAATTCCACCGGGAACCGCCCCAAACGGCGGTGTTCGGACGGAACATGCTCCAACTTGAGGGTATTGACAAACTAGCATGTGCAACATGACAGAACGAGACGGTCCTCTTATTATTGTCTATTATTTAATTACGATTCTTTTCATGTAATATTTTATTCAGTCAATCATGCGTACTTATGTTGCAGTTACTTCATAGTAGGATTTCTACTTCTTTCATCTTGGAACCAGTTGAGTTTGTATTCATATAAACCGCATGTGTAACTCGTACGAAGCAAGGGGAATAAGATTTATTTTTTGGTTATCGCACTTGTGCTTTTTTTAAAAGAGAATATAGACAATGTTTTAGGTTTTTTCTCTAAGGTATGACTAATTGAAGCTTATTTTCAAACAAGCAACTACTTCTACATATGGATAAAATGCGACTAATAAGGTACGAAGCAGTAGATTTGAAAAAGCATAATGTGACTATCAGATTTTTATGACATTGTCATTTCATTCATGTCACTGATCGATAGATGTCACTGTCGTCGCCACAGATGTCCCTGTCACCGCCGGCTTAAAAAAAATTCGAGTAACTTTTATACTTCAAAAATTCATAAAAAGCAAAAACATGCAGGTGACTTTTCTAACAAAACTGGCAATCATCGAGAGGTATTACTAGAAGAGTCAGTGGAGCAGGGGGCATGGACAAAGTGAGTAGTTGAGTTGAAATTTAAATTAAAAGAAAAATATACTACCTCCTTCCCAATGGACTTTGCACTAATTGAGTTAGGTGAAAAATAAGAATAATAAAAATCGTGTGGTTGAAGATTGTGCAGAGAAAAGAGAAATGAGCAGAAACACAAAATAGTTACTTTAATGGGAAAGTGACAAAATTTTATGGGACAACAAAAAAAGGATATTTGGCAAAGTTCAATGGGACGGAGGGAGTATTAATTAGAAATAATTAGTTACATATTTTGTTGTTGGAAAAAATTATAGTGTATTTTTAAAAAGATTTTTTTCCTAAAATATTACTAATAAAAAAAATCTATGGATAAAAAAGTGATTAAAAGTTAGTATGTGTAAATCATTGAGACACTATAATGTACTCCCTCCGTTCCCAAAAATACTTTCCACTTTCCTTTTTGGGTCGTTCCAAAAAATACTTTCCACTTTCCCTTTTTGGACAATTTGTGTGGCTCACATTCATTTTACATTTTTCTTACACAACCACAACCATACATTTCCACTTTATTCCACTTTCTTAATAGGCGTGCCAAGTCAAACTGGGAAGGATTTTTAGGAACGAAGGTAGTAACATTTGACTTTTTTTAAAAAAATTAAATAACCAATATATTAATAAAAGATAGCAAAGATACAAGAGAACGAGTAGCATAAGGCTACAATGGGATGAGAAATAGAACGGAAAAGATTCAATGAATCCTTCCAAATCGCTAATCTCGCAATAATGTAGTCTAGTCTAACAGCGTTGCTGCTCTTCTTGCTACTCCAAAGAGAAAATACAAAATTGCAACTATAAGATCCGGCTTCACCAGCCACCGGAACAGGAGAATTGGTTTGACCATCAACCAACAAAGGAAATTCAATTGGGCAGAAATTGTTTGAATCATCAGTTTGACCAGCCACCGAAAAGGAGATCTTGTTGAGCGCTATCTTTTTCTTCGAGTAAGGCGGTGGTTCAGGAGGAGGGCGAGTAATTGGAGATTCAAAATAAACTTGTGTTGTCAACCATGAATAATGAACCACTCGATCGATTACACCGATGAGGAAGACACAACCTCCAGACATTGCTAGGTGAAAACAAAATACACGCTCACATGAAGCAGACATAACTCTCAGCCAAATAAGATGTCAGACCAAAACCACAACCCCATCTCACAATTTTCGGGTGTTTGTCCTTCCTAATTGCTCGAACTGAATGCTGGTAAACTTCACGAGCCTATCAATATAAGAATCAGATGAAGAATCATATGTAATCGGTATATCATCCGTTATAACATTTGAATATAAATTAGTGATCATATTTTTATAATTTTTCGTTAGATAAATCTCTTTAATTATACAATTATTATACGACGTACCCCGTATGTACTTTGGGTTCATGCTGAAGCGGCTATCGATTGCGTATCCCCTCTCCTAATCCCCTATTTATAGTCGTATTATTATACTCTCATACATCATCGGCCACTCACCGGCGGACCCAAATCTTCCCGTCACCTTCAACTTCCCCTCGGTCAAACCCACACAACTTTAAGCCGTCGATGTGAAGGTTTGTCGTCGTCCAGATCGGATCTCTGCGTCTTTCTCTGCATTAATTCGTGTCGTGTAATATCTGCTACTTTTGTTTGAGCTTAATGCAGATTTAAGAGCGGGAATGGACGCGAGTTCCACCTTGTATGTGGCGGTTCTAGCATGCACTGCTCAATTACGTTGATGCATTTGGAGCTTATTCGATTCTGGGGCTTTGGTTTTGGAGTGTGAAGAGCTGATAGATCGCAGAGAAGAGCGAGCGAGAGAAAGATGTCGAATCTGTTGGGATTGGAAAATTCTTCTATTCAATATCAAGAACAGAATTACAATAGGAGGAGCAAACTCTCACACTCAACTATTACAAAAAACCAATCCTCACCAATACACTTCTACTCTAAGTGTATTTCACTCTTCACACACTTTTCTCACTTTCTAAACTGATACAAATGAACACCAATACACTCCCTATTTATAGGTGTATATGGGAGACATGAGGAAGTTGCATCCAAGCTTCCATTCCCATTGCTATGGAGTTTCCTAGCTATCTCCAAGAAATCTTTTCCCATGTTCATTTGTTGGATAGCTCCTTCCTAGAAGGTGTGAGATGTCTCTTGGCAACTTCCAAGAAAGAAGGTGGAATATCTCTACAAATCTCCCCTCCACCTTTTTCTTTGTTTCTCTCATTCCTGCGATGATCGCTGGCTCCCCCTCGTTGGCAACAAGCATCCATTCGGATGTGGAGAATTTTCTCTGTGGAACTATGCCTCGCATAGAACGTCAAACATGAATACATTCAGCTTCGTCTTCAAATGAAGGCTCCCCCTAATGAGGAATATCATCACTGTGAGCATCATCATCACCTACTGAACCATCACTCTCTTGTTCAGTAGTATCATGCATCTCCTCGTCGCTGAGAGGAATGTTTGATGATACAGGCACTTCGTCTTCTAGAGTATATTGTTGGCGGATTATTGGAACACATGCACCCATGAAACTCGTTTTCATGAAATACAACATCTCTGCTTCGTACAACTTTCTTCAATTCGGGATCCCACAACCGGTATCCGAATTCTTCATCACCATACCCGATGAAGATGCATGGGTTTGACTTGCGATCAAGCTTCTGTCTCAACTCCATGGACACATGTGCAAATGCCTTGCACCCGAACACTTTCAAGTGAGAGTAAGAAACATCGCTTCTTGACCATTTCTTCTCTGGCACTTCAAAGTTTAAAGGAACAGAAGGTGACCTGTTTATAAGATAACAAGCTGTCAGCACAGCTTCACCCCAGAATGGCTTAGGTAGTTTAGCCATACTCAGCATGCAACGAACTTTCTCCATAATGGTCCATACGCAGCGCAATATGCTGAGAACTCCCGGGAAGTGTACTCTCCTCCATTGTCTGAACCTATACACTTCAGCTTCTTCCCTGTTTCTCTTTCTACCATGGCATGAAATAATTTGAAGCGATCAAACACTTGATCCTTACTCTTCAAACAGTAAGCCCATACCTTTCGTGATGCATCATCAATGAATGTCACGAAATACCTGCTTCCTCCAAGTGACTCCTCTTCAATAGGGCTGAGCAAAACCCGACCCGACCCGAAAAACCCGATATTTTTTCAGATATTATCCGAACCGAAGTGGATATCCGACCCGAAAAACCCGAAACCGAAAATCCGATTAGTATTGGGCCTAGACCGGGTGGCGGGTAGGGTTTGTGAAATCCCAACCCGACCCGCCCGAATATCCGAAATATATGTTAGTGTGTACTTTGAATATTTAAATTAATACTTGTGTTCAATTATTTGTGTAATTATTTGTGCAATTTTTATTAAATTATTTGTGTAAATTGAATGTGTAGTGAACTAGTGTGTACAATTTTTGTTAAAGTGGCATTCCAACACTTTAATTAACCATCCAATTATAATGTGTTTTGATATAACCAAAATGTCCGAAATATATTAAATTATGTAGTGTGTACTTTGAATATGTTAAATTAATACTTGTGTTCAATTATTTGTGTAATTATTTGTGCAATTTGTGTTAAACTATTTGTGTAATTTGGAAGTTTAGTGCATTAGTGTGTACAATTTTTGTCAAAGTGGCATTTAAACACTTTAATTATCCAATTATAATTTTTTTAATATAACCGAAATATCCGAAACCCGACCCGATATCCGATAATATCCGACTTAAAAATATCCGAAATACCCAATTTGAAATATCAAAGGGTCGGGCCTAGTAATTAAATTAAAAAACCCGAACGGGTTTAGGGTTCACAAACCCGACCCACCCGAACCCGACCCGTGCACACCCCTACTCTTCAATGGGTCCACATACATCAGAGTGGACAAGACTGAGTAATTCTGTATGGTTCTTCCTGGTAGAACTGAAGGAAACCCTGTGTTGTTTCCCGAATAGATAGTGCTCACATGGATCAAGGGCAACACCTTTGCCCATGGAAATGCTTTCCTTCCTAGTAAGAGTTGTCAATCCCTTTACGCTCAAGTGGCCTAACATCCGGTGCCACAAGTTTGGTGATATCTCTTCTTCAACAACATTGAGACTTGGATGACACAATTTTGCATGAGTCTTATAGAGAGTACCACAAATATGGCCTCTAGCAACAACCAAGGAACCTTTAGATCATTTCCACGTACCTTCTTTGAATTGGTTAAGATATCCTTGCTAATCCAGAGCTGTGCCGGAGATAAGATTCAATCTAAGATCCGGAAAATGTCGAACATCTTTCAACACAAAGGCGCATCCGACATTGGTTGTTATATGCACATCACCAATGCCAACAATCTTCGCGAAACTGGTGTTTCCCATCTTCACAGCTCCAAAGTCTCCTGACTTATAAGATGTGAATAAGTTCTGGTGTGGAGTGACATGAAAAGATGCAGCTGCATCAATCACCCACTCAACATCATGAGTGCCTATGTGTAAACATTCTTGTTCACCATGTGCAACAAGTAACACGTCTGATGACAAACTAACCATGGTCTCACCATCTTCTTGGCTAGTATTTTGACTCGTCTGTGGCTGCTCTCGTAGAAACTTTCTACAATCTCTTTTTCTATGCCCATAATTACCACAGTAATTACAATATCCTTGAAACCAAGTATTGTTTTCATAGGACATACCTCGTTCTTGCGATCGGCCGCAAACTTGAGAATTACCTCTGTTTTGACCTTGACCTCTAGCTCGACTTCTTCCTCCATTTCTGCCTCCCCCGTCTGTTAGTTTCTGATACGAAGGCATATGATTGTTCAATCCCGACTTCTTTTCTTCGGGCTTCTTTGTTTATAAGGGCATCCGTGACCATCTGCATAGTCACCTTGCCATTGGGAGCAGAATTGCTAAGAGTGACAACAAGAGTTTCCCAGCTGTGAGGTAGAGAGCTCAAGAGTAGTATCACCTGCTCTTCATCTTTGAGAACCTATCCGGTGGTGCTCAACTGATTCACAAGATCCTGGAATTGACTGGTGTGTTCTGACACCGAAATACCACCTCGTAGCTTGTGGTTTACTAATCGCCTCATTAGTAACGTCTTATTTCGTGCAGTTTTCGCTTGATACATGTTGACAAGCTTCTCCCATAGTGTGTAAGCACTTTGTTCTTGAGCGACATGATGGAATACACTATGATCTATCCACTGTCGAATTTGTGCGACAGTTTTTCGATTCATTTTTGTCCATTCTTCATCCGTCGTTTTATCCGATTTCACGCCATTATTATCAGAAGGATCGGCCAATTCCCTCAAATTTAGCAAATCCTCCATCCGAGGCTTCCACATATTGTAATTTGTGAAAGTGAGCGCAATCATGGTGTCCGATGATGATTTATCCATAATAAAAAAACTCAATATATCCCGTACCTTATTTTCAAAGCCGAACATGGACAAACGGAGCTCACCGTTTGATTCGGAATGACCGAAAATGGTAGGAACCGGTCTGACCTCGTCCAAAACCGGTTTGGAAATAGGTGAACCGGACTCCACAACAACGAACCGGTTTGGTCCGGTTCAGGCAGCAGACCAGCAGGCGGATGACGTGGCAGCAGCTGGCACTGACGTGGCGTCACGTGGCAGATGATGTGGCAGCAGGCGGATGGATTACGTGGATGATGACTCGGCACGACGTGGCGATGGCGTGACGGCTGACGTGTCGCTGACCGGTCGTCTTCTTCCTCTGGACTGCGCGTGATGACGCAGGCAGTTCCAGGCAGCGGTTGGGTGGCGCGTACGACTGCTTCTGGTGGCCAAAAAATTCACCAAAAATACCAGATTTCTCGCCTCGACGAGACGAATCTAACAGTACGATCAGATCGTGATTCCGAGCAACTTGAAAATCACGATTTTCTAACCCGTAGAAATTTTTCTGAAAAATGAGAAAAAGTGTATGGAAACTCAACCTTGCTCTGATACCACTTGTTGGGATTGAAAATTCTTGTATTCAATATCAAGAACAGAATTACAATAAGTGGAACAAACTCTAACACTCAACTATTACACACAACCAATCCTTCCCAATAATAAACTTCTACTCCCTATTTATAGGTGTATATGCCTATATGAGAGACCGAAAGTGTAGAATGCAAGCTTCCATTCCCATTGCTATGAACTTTCCCAACTATCTCGAAGAAATCTTTTCAGATGTTCATTTGTCTAATAGTTCCTTCCTAAAAGGTTTGAGATGCCTCTTGGAAGAAGATGGTGGAATATCCCTACAGAAGCAAGTCGTGAAAGTGAGGAGAGAAACGATTGCGGCACACATGACTTGCCCTCTTTGCAGTAAGCTCTTCAGAGATGCCACTACCATTTCCGAATGCCTTCATACGTGTAAGCCCATCCCCATCCCTCCGCGCGCCTGTGCTTCGATTATAATTGTTTCTACGATGATTTATCGATTATCACGAGGTTTATCAGTTTTGGCATTGCCCATTTGCGATATGTGTTTGCTCTGTTTCGCATTGTCTTACACCTTCTACGATTGGATTGCTTACTAAGCATCTATATGCTCAGTATCTGCTAGCAGATCTTTACCAGTCGCTACTCTTTTTATAGTTAATGTGTATTTAGTTGATTAACCCATTCTGGGTCCTATATATATTACACTTATTATACGTAGTACTTGAAAAGGAAAACATAAATTACTAATATAAGTACTGAGCCAAATTATTTCCCAATGTTGTAATTATTAATATAATATTCCTTAACAGGAAAACATAATTTTTTTCTTCAAATAGGAGAGCCATTTTTTTCTCAAAAGAGAATTCATTCACTCTCATTTTGAGAACTTTTTATAGTTTTATTCTTTAAATTGGACTAAATAAGTCATATTATAGGAATAAAACATTCTTAATTCTATTTATGTGCTTTGTTCATGCTTTGACCAAGTTCTAAACTTCTAATAATGGAGAACTCTCTCCTCCTATAAAGAACACATTCACTCTAAACAAGTCCCATTTTGAGAATAAAACATACTTACGTCCTATTTTTTAAACTTTGTTCATGTTTTACTCCTATTTTGACCAATTTCTAATTTTTAATATCCCTTATGAACGGTTAGAAAGTGAGCCTGATCCTGGAAACTAAGCTTTTGATGCGTGGTTGTGACAAACACTTCGTGAGAAGATCCTCTAGCTGACCATGGCAATTGACAAGAGATGTGAGAGACACTTGGTGTTCTAGACTGAGCTGGCAATGTGTTTTATTCAGTTGATTGCAATTAAAATTCATAGCAATGTGTTTCATTAAATAAGTAGGTGTCGGGTTTACCAAATTTGTGGAGCAAAGATCGAAGCTAGAGAAATTCTGGAAGGGTAGATGCAACAGATCGATGTTCAGTGTCAGTAGAGGAGCGTGTAACAGATCACTGTCTCTTAGAAGACCACAAAACTGGAGAAGTGCGATTTGCGAATATAAGTAATGTAACCAGTAGTGGAGGTGTTAGTCATCCTTGTCATTGGTCCCCTCAGATCGAGGGATGGTTTCGGCCGACACTGATGAGGCAGACATATTGGCAAATTTGGACAAATGGGCTGGGTTGGGCTGGCACAGATGGAGCTGACTTGAAAGAGGGAGACAACTCGCTGACTTGGATGAGGGAGAGGATTCAATTGACGGCAGAGCGGACAAGACTAGTGGGACTGTGGGGTCAACACGGGTAGCAGAGGGAGTAAGGGTGGGGTGAGGGTACACCATGCATCCACATCAACATAGGTGATGGTGGGAGCCTTGGCTATGTTTGAAATGGAAACATGAATTTGACAAACCAATCATGACGAGAGGTATAAACATGATGTATTTGAGGGTCTAGAAAGTGTCAAACACCCTGGGCAGTAGAGTGACCAATTAAGTCACATGACATGGGTTCGAGTTTATGAGAGCTGTATGATTTGAGCCACTAGTAACAAAAACAATAAAAACTATAATAGTTATCGTAAATTGGGGAATGACTCAAGAGACATTAGAATAATGATGAAAGATATTAGGAGTTACTAAGTGATTAATGTGGTAGGAGGCAGTGAGCTAGTATTGGATTGGCATACTAGCACAATAGCACACAAGACTAGAGAAAGACTTGTTTAAACAAAGTAGCGATGTCATTGTTATAATTTCTATCTAGCCATTGTGTTAAGGGGGTGTAGGATTTAGTCGTGACTCATGAGATAGGATATGTCGTGGGTCCCAAGGGATGCTGATATACACTCATACTCATCGTTATCTGAATAAAGGGGTTTAATTGGACAATTAACAAATTTGTCAACAAGAGCTTTGAAGCGATAAACACTGAAATTGTATATTTGCATTTTAGGGGATAAGACCATATTTGTTTTTATGGTGGTCAACAAATATAACAATATTTGAAAAATCTTATGACAAGAAAGGAGAAGTCCAAACGTCTACAGAAACAACAGAAGATGAGGAACACAAAAGTATTCATTTTATTAATGATATGTGAGTAACAATGAGAAGTAGAGTCTTTATTAACTTTCAAAAATGGTTTCAACCGGGTGACCCAGACGACCTGTAAGCCCCTCCCTATCCCTCTGCGCGCCTGTGCTTCGATTTTAATTGTTCCTATGATAATTTATCGATTATGACGACGTTTCTCAGTTTTGGCATTGCCCATTTGCGATATGTGTTTGCTCTGTTTAGCATTGCCCCCCTCAACCCCAACCCAACCCAACCCAACCCAACCCCTTTATATAACCTAAAATTTTACAGGACTTAAACACAGGAAAAATTCTAAAATAGGATTACGAGTGAAACCAGAAGAAGAGGTCCAGAAAGTTATTTGTTCATAGGTTTAAGTTTTGGAGTTGGATTCATCTGAAGTAGATGAAGGAGTTTCTGTCAGGATAGCTGAAAGGAAGATTCAGGGATGCAAAGTAGAGAAAAAAGGGACTTCGATTTGAGCTTCTGATACCACGTGGGGAAAGTTATTTAACTGATTACCAAAGAGAATTACTGGCCTTTAGGCCTATACAAAATACATGAGTGAGAGGTGTACTAGGAACGCAATCACTACAGGGAAAATAGCCTATTCAAGGAAACTAAGAAAATAATATGTAAAGAGACAAATGATTCCCTATTATTATATATTTATATTTTTATTAATATTATCTACACATGCTTCTGAATGTGCAAAGTTCAACTTATTGTAACAATGGTTCTAACATGAAGCTACGGTATGAAGGTATGTTGGCTTAGCTGACTAAATCACTATATGCGTACAGTTTAATGTTTCATCCATCTTATAATTGCCACATGGAAAAATGTGCTAAAATGTGGAACTTACAGTTTGTTTAAAGTAACATGGAATCTACTGTTAAAGCTTATTTATAGTTTTATACTAATGTTTTTACTCTGCAACTTGTTCTCTTTATGATGAATGTTCCCTTTGAATGCATTACTTAGCTCTACGATGATAGAAATCACATTTACTTCAACTCTGACATTGTCATTGCCTCATTGGTTTCCCATATGATGTGAAAATACTAGTTAGAGCTAGTTGCTCTAGCTTATCTTTTTGGACTAAATTGTAAGTTTGTTATTCTGTTAGTACTATCTTTTCTTAATTCAAACTTTTGTTTGTTTATTTGGAACTTCACCCAGTTTGCAGGAGATGCATTTATAAGAAGCTCTCAGATGAGGAGACAGAATGTTGCCCAATATGTAACATTGATTTAGGCTGTGTCCCACTTGAAAAACTGAGGTCAGATATGTTTTACACTCACTGCTCATCTCATCATTCTCCACATTTAACTTTGACATGATGTCTTTTCCGTACTTGATGGAAGTTTTGTGATTTTCCAACTTCTCATCGAGGTTAGCCATATTAAATTTTACTTGACAGGATCTACTTCTTGATCTGAGATTTGAACTTTGAAGTATTTTACATGCATTTCATCCAAATGGGGAGCAATACCTCTATTTTCAATACATTGAAATCCATAGAATGTGTGTGCTCAATTATTTCCCTTTAAAGACCAGAAACAGTAGAACTGTGGAACAGTGGTAAAGTTTAAGGTCATGGGTTCTAGCAATGAAAATAAAATATATTAGAAATATAAAATAATGAGATTGCATATCATTGGCCTAAATGGTCCGGCTATTTCCTATACACTACATAGTGACCTCTATTTTCAATACTTTGAAATCAATAGAATGTGTGCGGACAATTATATTTAAAATTTTACTAACTAGTAATCACCAACTGCATCCCAGTAATCTGTCCTAATCAGTACTCGCTGTTTGACTGAGTAGCTTCCGAGTAACGGTTTAACATTACTACATGCAACTTTACTATGCGGGCTACTTCTGAGTAGTGTAGAACTCAATTGGCTAGCAGGAACTATCAATTGTGCTGAAGTGTATATCCAACTATTTTGGTTTCAGGGCAGATCACAATTTGCAAGATGTAAGGGCTAAGATTTTTCCATATAAGCGACGGAAGGTGATGGTGCCTGAAGTTTTACCTTCAGTAATGTTGCCTGCGAAGAGAAAAGAGCGATCACTTTCTTCCGGTTTTGATCACTTTCTTCATATAAGCATATTTTTAATTTTACTGTTTGCTTGATTTTTATTTTTCATGATCAGCCTGTTTATTTTTCTGTTGGTTACTTTTATTGGTGCAAGACTTTTGCATTAGGATTGGGTGATGGGAGGTCGGCTTTAACCGCCGTTGGCTCATTTATGCCCATTATAGGATCAACGAGTTATATTGCTTTTTTGGAGGTGATTGACTCTAAGTTTGGTCCGAGGGCTGACGGTTGCCTGTGGTCCTTTTTTCGTTTTACCCCTTATTTGAATGTTGTAATAGCAATTTAAGCCATCCGTTTTAACGATAAAAATAACTAGACTATTCTTCTCACAGATAAATATAGAGTACTTTTAGACATCTTACAATCCTTCTCTATCAATAAAATTAAATATCCACTCTCTTAATATGCAAATTAGTGTATTTGTTCTGTCAATCAAGTGTTTGTTGACAATTTAGGAACCATCAATATATTCACCCTACATATATTTTGTACATAAAATAAATAAACTCTATCTTTTTTTATAAATAATGTATTCGCGGAAATATTTTATGAATAATAAGAATTTAAAAAACTGCATATTTTGATGTAAAGTATTTAAATCTCACAAAATATTGATTTACCTCTTTTTTATTGTATTTGGAATTTACAAAAAAATAAAAAATAAAAACTATTGCACGGAGTTATTGAAGTAATTGAATAAATTATTTGGTAAATTTTTCAATAACTTTTTTTTTTACTTGGACTGAAATTTGTTGGTTTGGTCTGAACTGGTTTGGTAAATGTTTGGTCTTTGCGTATTTTATAACTATGGAAGTCTAGTTTGGTTTGATCTGTTTAGGTGTGGTCTAGTCTGGTCTGGAAGTGAAAACAGTCCAAGTAAAAATATCCTATAAATGATACTGATGCAAGTGTTTTAAAACTTTTCTCATGCACTGTTTGTGCCTTTGCCTTTGGATTTTGCTTTTGCTGTCTGCTTTGGAACCATGAATATGGGGTGAGGTTTTAGCCCATTTTAGCCTCTCCCGATATAAGTGTTGTACACAAAATGAGGGATGGATCCAAATGTGAGTTTTTGAGCTGTTTAATATCGGGTTGCAAATGGCTTTATGGCGAATGTACTACTTGATGTGATTTTTCTGCTGATGGCTTCGCTGACCCGAGGTAGTAGAAACCAAGAGGGAGAGACTGAAAAGTGCTAAGTATGGAATGAGTAGGAAATTTGGCAGAGTAGCATTAAACTTGTGTGTAAGAATGACGATCTCTTTCTACAAGTTGGAAGATGATATTTATAGTGTAATACTTGGGCAATATAGTAAAATATATTTGATCTAATAATACGATGACACGTGTAACGGTTGATTGGTAAGAGAACCGGTATAGTTGACTGATTGGTACTGTAGATAACTGAATTGATTCCCTTTTGTACTGGATTGCGTAAGGAAGCCACATGTGTAAGCCTAGAACCTTATGCGCATAACCGCCTGGGTGACGTCAACACTGACCAGTTGTCACGCTGGTGGCGCATTCATAATTTGTTATGCAGAACTTGAGCCATGGGCTTTGCGGAGTGGAGCTCGGGGGTAGTGTATTAGTTTAGGAGGGTGACCTCATCTTGCCAATAATGTTTCCTTTGACTCTTTGACTCGGTGAAGCGTTAGTTGACCTTAAGCTTGATTCTGATGGTGAGCTTTGTTGTTTGACCTTGGTTGGCGGTGAGCTCAGCTTGAGATACAGTTTTGGACTTATTTTGATGATCTGAAGTCTGAACCGACTTTGAGAACTGACCTCGGCAGGCTCGGCCTCAGCGGGAAATGACTTAGTGATTTCTGGGGATCATTTATTCGCGAATGTTGATACCTCTGGGGTAGATGGGAATAAACTCCATCATGAGTCTCCACTATGTGAAGCGAAAGTAGGGATTCCCATGAGTCCTGTTTTTATAGTCTATGGGTATATGAGAATATACTCCATCATTACCTTTCTAGCGCCATATTGGCGTGAATGTTTGTACATCCAGGCTCGGAGTCAGGTCGGGAGTCGGATTCTGGCTTTAATTTTGAGTTTTGGGCTCGGTTTGAGTCCCAATAGCTCGTTTTTAAGGTTTTCGCCTTTCTTTGCTTTACATGTAACTGTTTAGCGATGTTGTCTGATTCCGGTTCTGTGGATGTCCTCGCAAGACGTGACAATGGCCAGGTGGAGAGGGACGTTGGTGTGCAAGATGGTGCCGCCTCCGTTGCGGATGTCCAGCCTCTGCGGGCGATTCTGGGTCCCTCACATAGGAAACACAAATCCTCTAGCAAGGAGTTTGGGGAGATTGACGCAGATGGATTGGTGGTCCCCACGTGTGACCTTAACGATAAGGAATGGCTTCATGCACGACGCCTGGTCGGTCCAACAGTTGCACCATTCTGAGGCCAGTTCCGAATAACACTGTGGCGGACTGCCCTAGTTCGTTCTTCACTGTCTACTATATGGCTTTGGAGAATGGATTTCGTTTCCCCCTCCAGCCCTTCGTGGTGGAGTATTTGGACTCGGTCGGGCTCCTACTCTGTCAGCTCACCCCCAACAGCTTTTATTTCAACACTGCCTTCCTCCTACGTTGCAAGAGGACTGGGGTGACGCCTTCTGTTGAGTTCTTCCGGTACATGTTCAACATTGGGTGCAGTCCCACACCGTTATGTCGCAGGCACCCAATATGAGTGGGTTCAGCAAGCTGCCGTCGTCGTACCATGACTGGAAGACGAAGTTTGTCTTTATCTGTACTGACGAGGTGAACGAGTCCCCCTTTAGTGCTCCAGGGGGTTCCAAGTTCCGTCGCCATTGTGTGGCGAAATTGGATTATTTCGGAGGTACCTGTGAGCTGTGAGTAGTATCTGCTGCCTGGTGTGTACGAGATTGCCAACTACCTCGCTGAAGAGGCTTTGGAGGATGAATTGGACTTCATCCGGTATAAGAAGGGGCATCAATTCTCTGATGGGGAGGCTAGTTCTGAGGATGAGGATCTTAAAGAGGCCATTGCTGCTTCCTTGGCCAATGTGGGTGGGGTCCATGTTGATGAGCATAGGGTAGCTGTTGGTGATGGGGGGGCCTCTGGTGCCCATGCCTCAGAGGATTTGAAGGCGGATGCTTATATGTCCCCCTCAAGGCATGAGTCTGCCAGTGAGAAGGATGAGGTTTTTCATAGGAGGGAAAGGGCGAGGGTGTCGCCTGTTAGGGGAGAGAATGAGTGCTTCTCTGTCCCTTCTGCCAACCTTAAGCCCCCAGGGGGGTAGGTTTTTGTTGTTCTTTTGATTTCTGTGACTTTATCTTTTCTGCTGCCTTTGTTTGTTTGTTCTAATGGATCTTTGTTTTACTTTGTAATAGGTATGGGTTCTTTCAAGGAGATGCTCTCCAAGCTTGACAAGGAGGTGAGGGGGTCTCTGCCTGCTCAGGAGGTTAAGGCTCCACCTTCCCATTCTTCTTCTTCCTCCTCTGAACCCTCCAAGGATGATGGAGGGGTTCCTGATGTTGGTGTCAATCTGGATGCTGAGGTTGCTGCTGAGGTTGCCCCTGAAGTACTACCGACTATGGTCCTTTATGAGGACCCTCTGGCCTCCTTCCCTGCTGAAATGGGTGCTGCCGTTCCTTCTCCTCAGCATGAGGCTGTTGCCGTGCAGTCTGAAGAGGAGGAAGATGATGAGAACTTGGCTGTCCCTGTGGATGCTGATGGTGCTCAGGGTCAGGCTGATGTTGCTCCCCCTCCAAATACTGAGGGTGCCCCAGAGGGACAAGCCGCTGTTGATGCTAATGCCCCTGTTCCAGAAGGAGATGATGGGGGGCCTGTAGGTGAGGAATATGGCACCCAACACTTTCGTTTTAGTCTTCCTAAGGGTTGCAGCTTTATGAAGGAGAGCGTTGTATCTATGAAGTTCATGGATGCTATCTCCCTGGCCACTGACAGAAAGATCTTGAAGAAGATGAGCAACAGGGACCTGGCGGAGGAGTGTGTCAGTGCTGCTCTCAGGGTTAGCATTCTTTTTGTTCCAAAGTTTGTTTATATTTGTATGTTTCTTTTGTGAATGTTATTTCCCTCCTAGCTTTCTCTTCCTTGCTTATTTATTGATTGGTGTTTGGAACAGACTGCATTCTGCAGTGATGAGCTTGGCACTAGGGCCATAGACTTCGAGAGGAAGTATAATGCCCTCTCTGGTCAGTTCAAGGCGTACGACCAAGATATTGCCAAGGCCTTTCAAGAGAGAGAGGCTGCTCAGAAGAAGTGTGAGGGTCTCCACGCTCAGATGGATGAGCTGAAGTCCTATCTGGACAGGGCCTTGAAGACTGCTCAGGGTAGCCTTGAACTCCAGCTTGAGGCTGAGAAGAGGGAGCTGGAAGCCCTGAATTGCATCCAGGAACTTCATTCATCAAATGAGGCCCTGAAGGATGATTGCGCTCTTCTGAGGAAGACCCTGGAAGTTGTCAGGACAGAGAGGGGGGCCCTTGCGGATAAACTTGCCTTTGTTGAGATGAAGCTTGTCAATGTGAGGAATGATCTCTCAACTGCTCATGATAAGGTTGATGCTGCTGCCAAGTATTTGGAAGAAGCGCAACAACGTGCGAGGGATATGACTGCTGGTTGACACTGATGGTCGAGGGGGCTCCAGGAGATGAATTGGTGGAGCAACAACTATAGAAGCAGAAGAGAAAGAGAAAAGAATAGATCGCCCTGTTCCCTATGATTTTGATTTATTGGCCTGTGTGCATGATCTGTGCTGTTGAGCCATGTACCAAACACTGAAACACATCACACTTGAAAATTTCGAAATGCATGTGATGTTGATATCTGTGATTTCCTTTGTTGTGCTTTTATTTTGTGTCTGTGATTTCTGTTAAGTTCACATATATGCCTTTTGTTTGAGGATGAATCACAATCTGGTTTGTCCTCCCTTTTGTAACTTTAGCATGATTTTGCTAAGTACGTGCCGAGCTGAGGTTGTAAAGATAAACCTTGTCTTGACTTTTATTCTGAGGTCGGGGCCATCTGTTTGGCCCCACTGTTGTATAGCATGTACCTTTTGTGTTGAGCCTGCTAGCCTGCTAGGTACTGTTTCCTGAGGCTTGCTTGACTACATAGGCTTGCCTTGATATATTTTTGTCTCCAGCAGAATTTGGCCAAGTACCATTTCTCTTACGAGGCTAGGTTGAGTAGCATGTGCTTGTTTGTGGTTATTTAGCCAGGGTGAGTCAGTGCCTCAGTGGTAGACTTATCCCTGCTATGACTTGGCTGTTCACATTATATTTGTGAAGTACAGTTTTGTTAATGCGATAATGTGGCTCTACTCAGGCAGTCAGGCCGATCACAATGGGAAGAGTAAAAAAGGCAGTTTTTGTGATGCAACCACGCAAAGCTCCGGGCCAGATGAGCTCAACCCATTTTTTTCCAAAATTATTGGGAGATTGTGGGGCTATGAATTAGATATTTCTATGATATATTAATTATGATGGTGTATTTGGATTATTTAAATTAGTTATATATCAAGGCACGGTACACGGGTAAATTGAAAAATGGTTTGCCTAAAAAATAAGAGTACATGCTCTAGTGGCTAGGGCTTGTTTGGTAATATCCAAATCAATTTTATTGGTTGATTTTGATGAGATTTATGAATTCTAGGTGAAGTGGTTGGATTAGTTGTTTCTAATAATTTATGGGAAAAAATATTTAAAATATTTTTCATTAATAAAATAAAAGAAAAATTAAATTCAAATGATCATCTACAGTAACTTCAGCCAATACAGCCAGAAGAGTAACTTCAATCTTACTTTTTCTTATTATTACAGAATTTAGCTCATGAAATCAAAAGTTACATGTTTAGTGAAAAAGTTGTCTGATAAATCTGTTAAGTAAAAAAATATGGTTACCAAACAGACTCTAGCATAAAGTGATAACAACTCCATGAACAATTTTTAATTGAGAAATTTCTCAAAATAGGAGTAAATGAGTTTTAGAATTTCAAAATAGGAGTGATATGTTTTTCTTTCTAAAATAGAATGATATGTTTTTCTTTCTAAAGTGATATGTTTTAGCTTGTGATTCTGACTGGGCTCCCTATTACTCGCCACTCTGTTTCTGGTTGGGTGATGTTTTGGGGCCATTCTCCTGTTTCATGGAAGACCAAGAAGCATGCTATTGTTTCTCATTCCTCAGCTGAAGCTGAATATCGATTCATGGCGCGGAAACCACTTGTGAGCTCAAGTGGTTGAAAGTTTTTTTTAGTTTGCGCATCAATCATAATTTTTCCATTCCTCTTATCTGTGATAGTCAATCCGCTTTGAACATTGCAAAAATCCAATTTTTCATGAACAAACAAAGCACAATATGATGGATTGTAACTTTGTTCGTGATGCTATACAAGAGAGTCTTAATAGTCCTTATGTTTCCACTACTATGTAGTTGGCATATATTTTCACAAAAGCTCTGGGCAAGAATAAATTCTATTTTTTACTTCGCAAAAACGCAAGTTGGACATTTGTGATCCGCATGCTCCAACTTGAGGGGTATTGACAAACTAGCATGTGCAACATGGCAGAACGAGACGGTCCTCTTATTATTGTCTATTATTTAATTACTATTCTTTTCATGTAATATTTTATTCAGTCAATCATGTGTACATAACTACATATGTAGCAGTTGCTTCATAGTAGGATTTCTACTTCTTTCATCTTGGAACCGGTTGAGTTTGTACGCATATAAACCGCATGTGTAACTCGTACGAAGCAAGGGGAATAAGATTTATTTTTGAGATAATTATTCTGGGTGTGATTAAAACTTATTCATTTTTCCAATGTATGACCTAAGTAGTTTTTTTTTACCAAAATAATATTAAAATTCATGATAATTGATTAAAATTAGTAATAAATAAAGAAATAAATAATTCAGATAGACAAATATACCCTTTAGCTGATATCTATAAAACCCTAAGCTCCTATTCTTTTCTCCAACCCTAAACTCCATTCCCCCAGCCGCAAGCCCCCTACGGCCTACCATCGCCGCCCCTAACCTGTTGTCCGCCGCCCTATGGTCCGCCGCACAACTGCCTGCCGCCGCCTCATGTCAATCTTTGTAACCTCCGTCTCTTTCTCAAATCTCAATTACGTTCTCCGTGCAGATGGAATAAGGGCCGTGGTTGAGTGGGTCCTCGCCTAGAGTTTCGATGGCGAGGAAGCAGCGAAAGAGGTCCGAGAGAGGCAGAGAGCTTCGGTGGAGGCATCTTGGTGTTGGTCGTGCGGCTGTCGGCGGATGCCTCTGTTTACGCAAATAATTTGCATTTGATTGTCTCTCTGGGATTTAATTGGAAGACGTCTTGGTGCAGTATACTTTGACTTCTAGTAGCATTGTATATAATTACAACCCTGCTATAGGTATCCCAATTTGTACCCCAATTTATACCCCAACCTATTTTTGTGGCTCACAAAAGCCCAACTCAATAAATGAATTGCCCCACTTTAATGAAGTGCTTTTGTGAGCCACGAAAATAGGGCGGAGGTACAAAATGTGGTACTGATATAGTATAGCTAAATAAACCAGCTTATCGGTTAACACAATTGTACGGTTAACTAATAGTTAGTTAGTTTGTTACATGTATAGCTATATCAATAAGTCTGCTACGCAAAAACATTCATTCTGATTGATTCTTGAATAAAGTTCCTTCCATCTCCTTTCTCTCTTACTCTATCTTACTATGTACACATATTGATCTCGATTTACTCTTCTCCATTTATGAGCTGAATCCTGATCAATATCATTGGTATCAGAGCCATTGCAGAATTTTGAGATCGGTAAATCACCTATTCAGAATCTTGGCACCTGCGAAGAAGCAAGTTACGCTGCATCAGTTGAAAAGCATCACGGAGGATCGAGTGAATTTGTTAGAAAAGAAGTTCGATGAACAATCTCTCGTTTTGGGAGAAATTTTACAGATGATGAAGAATCAGAAAAAACAACCTGAAGGAGCTGTAGACCGTGAGTTTTCTGACGATGACAAGGAGAACTCTCCTCAAATTGGGGAACAGTCCAGGTTTAATCATAAAATTCATCATCGCACCTTCGGTTTTTCCCCTAAGCTGGAATTTCCTACATTTGATGGTAATAACCCTAGAATCTGGTTGAAGAAATGCTTGAAATACTTTAAACTCTGTAATATTTCGTATGAGCAACGAGTTGATATTGCCAGCATGTTCTTGAATGGTAAGGCTGAATTATGGTTCAATAGCTATCTGATGGGAAAGAATCATGTGGTGTGGGAAGATTTTGTGGTTGATATCTGTGCAAGATTTAAAGATGAAATAGGAATGAATGCAGTAGAAGAGTTTAATAAACTGCAACAATCTGGAACATTAGATGCGTATATTGATGAGTTTGAAAATCTGAAAAGCTTGATGATACAGAAGAATCATATCTTGCCTGATCAATATTATCTTGATAGTTTTATTGGAGGGTTGAAACCTGTCATTAAACCTTTTGTTAAGGCTTTCAAACCACATACTCTGGCTACTGCTATTGAATATGCTAGATTACAGGAAGAAATGGTGATTGCATCCAAGAATTCATCTGCAATCAAACATGTGGGCTCTCAGAATAATACCAGACAGTTCACTAAGCCTTTGTTACCCACTCCTAACTTCAGTAAGGCTTCTTCTTTAACTTCCGTTTCAAATTTGAAGCAGGGCAGATATATTAGTGCTGCAGAAAGAGCTGAGAGGCAAAAGAAGGGATTATGTTACTTCTGTGATGAGCTCTATGATAGAAACCACAATTGTAAGATGAAACAGACACAGATTTTTACTGTATAAATATTAGGTGAAGATGCTGAGGAGGATAATATTTCAACAGAAAATAGTGATGAAGAGATAATTCTGGAAGAACCTTACATTTCAGTAAATGCTTTATGGGGAAATCAAGGTTTCCAAACCATGAGAGTTACTGGATTTTCTGGGAAGAAACCTATTCACATCTTGATAGACTCAGGAAGTACTCACAACTTTCTGGATCAGAATGTGGCCATCAAAATGGGATGCAAATTAGACTCAATTGCACCACAAGCTGTAGCTATTGCAGATGGCAATCATTTGCCTTGTCAACTAGCTTGTAAAGGGTTTTCTTGGAGACTGCAGAATACTGAATTTAAAACTGATGCCCTGATAATTCCTCTTGGTAATTGTGATATGGTGCTGGGAATTCAGTGGTTGAGCACCTTGGGAACAGTTAAATGGAATTTTAAAGAATTACAGATGGAATTCTCATTCCAAGGGAAGAAACATGTCCTGAGGGGATTGAAACCCACACTGAAAGTCACTCAGCAAAAGCCTTCAATTCATATGCTTGAGAATGCATCTCAAAGGTATCTACTAAAGATATCTCATATTTCTGAGAATATTCCTGAAGATAGCCTCTATTCTATGGAATATAAGACAGATATGGCAGAAGGTTTGGATCCAATAAAACTATTACTAGATCAGTTTGGAGAAATTTTTGAAGAACCGAAAGGATTGCCACCTAAAAGAGGGATATATGATCATAAAATTCCTCTCCTAACTAGTACACAGCCTGTCAATGTAAGACCTTATAGATACTCTCTTAAACAGAGGGATATCATTGAAAAGGTAATACAAGAAATGCTACAGCAAGGAATAATACAAAATAGTACCAGCCCATTTGCATCCCCTGCAGTTTTAATCGGCAAGAAGGATGGATCTTGGAGGCTATGCATTGATTACAGAGAACTTAATAAGAGGACAGTTAAGAATAAATTTCCTATTCCAGTAGTAGATGAGTTGATTGATGAATTGGCTAGATCTAAAATCTTCTCCAAATTGGATTTAAGGGTAGGCTACCATCAATTAAGGATGAATGATGAGGATGTGTTTAAGTCTGCCTTTAAAACACATGAGGGCCACTACGAGTTTTTGGTTATGCCCTTTGGGCTTACCAATGCCCCAGCCTCTTTTCAAGCATGGATGAACCACATTTTCAAACCTTTGCTAAGAAAATGTGTTTTAGTCTTCTTTGATGATATTTTAGTCTACA